AAAGATACCTACTAAAATCATATTATAAATTTTTGTAATTTTACTAGTGTTTTTATATGTTTACGACAATCAGAAACAAATACTACAGTTATTATATTTATACTAGAGTGCATTACATTAAAAAAAAAACTACAACAACAAACATTCCTATCTCTTCTTGCATTTTTTTAAGTGTTTGTGTAATATTTGTTCCAAATTGTTGTGATCATTGAATAAAAATTTTTTTTTTCTATATACAGAGTGTCCCAGCAAGTTTAAAAAGTCCATTAGTAACCTTTAAATAGTAAAATTAAAAAAAAAACTGTATAGAACAATGATAGATACTAATCTAGTGCATCACCTAAAATTATTTTTAACTATACAGCATGTACCAAAAAGTTACGATACAAACTTGTGTTTTTTTAAATAAAACACCCTATATTTCTTTGCATTTTAGAATGTAACCTTTTAAAACAATGTTTTTACGCTAAACTTTTATTAGTCGATTTTGCTTAGTTTTAGAATAAGACGAGAACATGCACTTTTTAAAAATTTATCACACAAAAACTAAGACTAGAAAATTATTTTTATTTCTGCAAAGAAAGTACAGAACCTAAAGCTGTAGCAATTTTTTAGTGTTTTGCATTTGTAAAGATTAATAAATTAAAAAGTTTGTTAAAAATTAAAAAACAAAAAAATTAAATCTAACAACTTATTTTTTATTTTTGCATCTAATAGATTGATAAATTGTCTATCTAAAAAATAAACTTTTAATGTCTACAATTAATAAATAAAAAGATATAAAAGATATTATCCGTTGATTTATCCAGAGATTGTAAAAGTCGTTATAAATACTGAAATTCGAATTATTTTATTATAAAAATAAAGAATAATAGATTCAGTTTAACACAAATGTGATTATTAAGTGATATTTCTTCCATCTCTTGTGCAACTGTGCACTTTTTGGCTACGGAAACAATATTTTTTTTAATGTTTAACGTTAAATATTTTTTTAGTTATTGATTATAAACACCTAAAAGTAAATAATTTTAGAATGACAATTTAATAATCTCTTAAATGCAAAAACAATTAATAGGGTGTTCCATTTAAATTTTTTAAGTTATTGAACTTTTAACAAACGCCTCATTTTTTTATCTTTGCAAATGCAACACACCAAAAAAATGTTACAACCTTATAACTTGTTTTTTTTCTTTGCGGTAGTAAAAAAATATTTCTAAATGTCTTAGTTTTTGTGTAATAAATTTTTAAAAAGTGCATTTTCGTCAAAAAAAAGTCTTATTTTTAAAACTAAGCAAAATCGACCAATAAAAGTTTAAAAACATTGTCATTAAAATTTACATCCAAAAACGCTAAGAAACATATAGTGTTTCATTTTAAAAAACACAAGTATTGTAACTTATTTTGAGACACGCTGTATAGTTGAAAATAATTTTAGGCGATGGACTAGATTAGTATCTATTAATGTCCTATATATATTTTTTTACCATTTAAACGTCACTAATGAACTTGGGACACCTCGTATGTAATTAATGTGTATTTTATTTTGCTATTTTGTCTAGATTGTCATAATAAGTAATATTTTGAATATTTTAAGAAAAGTATTCTATACTTTAAGTATCTTATATGAATATAAATATATTAATATACAGGGAGGTTCCATTTAACAGCGAAAATTCATCTTTACCAAAGATAAATTTAAAATTAAATAAAATTTATAACATTTGTCCCATCTTTTCTTAATATAATAAAGGAAGAGAGTTACAAGTTTCAAATTTTGCAACTACACTAAATGAGTGATCTATTATTTTGTTATAAAGGTATTAAAAAAAAAGAAACAAATTTCAAATTTTTTTCGTTAAAAATGGACTTTCCCTGAATATTTGATCCCTACAACTATAAAATTTTTATGTTTTTTTTATTTGAAAGAGTTGAAATGGAAATGGAGGCGATAGCCGAAGAAAATAACTATGAATAAAAAAATACTTGTATTTTTTACAACATTGCACATTTCACGGACGTTTTCTATAATGACATCTGGGTCCGAAAAAATACTTTTTACGGACTATTTTGGACGATTTAAAAAAATTAAAATATTACTAGACTTTCTATAAAATTAGGCAACTCATTTTGGCCTGTATTTTGAAAAAAATGTTCTCAATATTGAGTGGAATGAAGAGGCCATCATGTTGCGAAAGGCCGTCACCAATTAAATTTCGAGCCGAAATACCTCATCGGTCGGTGTCAATGCCATCGTAAATTCGTCCTAATTGTAAATTTGTGTGTTTCCGTCCTCGATCAATTAATTCGCTTCTTTATCGGGGTGGCTATCTCCGAAAGGCCTTTTTGGTCGACGATTCCAGTAGCGCCAGTCCGAATTAGCTTTGCATTTAATACCGTTCAAGATAGGTGGTCTCTGTACTAATTAAGTGCCACATAAAGCCCCAAACCCGACTTTACTGTCCGAATTCTCCACTAATTATCTCATTTCGAAGGCGCATTTGAATGACTTACAACAGAAAAAAACTCGTGTGTAATACTCACAAAGCCGTGCTTGTCGGAGATGTTGTTGGTGAGTTTGAGTTTGTGGAAAGAGACGACTTTTTGCATCCACTGTTCACCTGTCGATGGACTGTCAGGATGGATGTACATCCGTTTGGGCATTTCAGGATCGGCCTTCCCCGCCACCATCCATCGGCTGAAAGTTTACCATGAGAAAGACTTCATGCAAGAGGAAATAACAAAATCCGAGTTTTGTTATTTCAGTTTAAGACTTCTCGACAAGAATTACGCATGCTTCGTGCCTTTCAAACATCATACAATTCGGGCATCTGTTTTCGGGCTCGGAATTTGCAAAACAAACACCCGAATAACACTTCGTATCAAACAGAACGAAATTTGAGTAGTGAAAAAATTTTAAGGATCGGTCTGTCGCATACGAAATTTTTGCAAAGAAATTCTAAATCAAACACCAACTAGGAGAAGAATAAGATTTTTGCAGTTTCTAACCTGTTATGGAATTTATATCTACAATCGTCAGCAGCTACGATGTCCATTAGTAGGATATATTTGGATTTTTTGTCTAAGCCCGATACGCGTACTTTGAAGGCAGGAAACATACGCCTGAAACATTGAGGTATGTATTAGAGATTTTATGGAAATCACCTGTTATGGAATTTGTATCTGTAGTCGTCAGCGGCGACTATGTCCAACAGGAGTATGTATTTGGCTTTCAAGTCCAAACCGGACACTCTGAACTTCATCTGGGGAAACATTTGTCTGCAAATATACACGGGGATTCACGTCAAAACGCCCTTCAAACACTAGGCTAACGGTAACATACCCTATGGCCTAAGCTAAATTTACTACACAGCATCTGACACAAAACATATTTTTTGGCTTTTGCTTAATAAACAAAATTTTTAATAGCACTGTATATACAGGGTGATGAAAAAAAGGCGCCCACGATTGAAACAGGCGCGTCCTTTTTTATTGAAACATTGTGACCATCATTCCAAAAATAGTCTAAATAGATTCTTTTTAAAATCTAAACAGTTTGTCTAACAGCACAAAGCGGCAATATTGCACAAATTTCTTTTACTAAAAAACTATTTCACTCAGGTATTTTTCGACTTTTTTTGACTTTTTGACTTTAATCGTTCAAATTTCACAGAACAAACAACATTGAAAATTGAATTTTTTGTTGCTACCGTTTCAAATAATTGAATATTACTTGGACATTTTCTGTATCCTAGGATATTTGCAATGTTGCAACATTGATAAATTTTCTTTGGAGCCAAGAAATGGTATCCAAACATCTTCAATAAAGTTTATTTCAATAGACTTTTTACACATTTTTTTAAGAACACCGTCAACAGTAGCAAAATCTAGACTTTAACAATGAAATTATTTTAAAACACTTAATTATATAGATTTCTCTTTTCTAAAAAGGAAAGTCTATACTTTACTGATAAGAGCACAAATCCAATTTTGGTTTTCGAATTCGTCTTTAATAAAAGATCACTTATTACGTGTAGGTTAACACGGGCGCCTTTTTTTCATCATACTGTATTTTTCAATGTTTAATAAAATGTAGTAATAATCCATCTTTTTTTATTCTAGTTAATTAAGTTTTTTCTCAGTTTTTGTAAAATTTATTTTAACATAATGATATACCGAAAGAACTAGTGGTTCTTCAATTTTATTTAATTTTTTATAAAGCATTTCAATTATATTATCTGCTACAAATTGATTTCTAACATATTTACAATTAGTTAATAATTACAAAAAAACTAAGAAATCAAAAATTTCGAAAAAAATTTGCTGTTGAGGCAATTATCTATGTTGAGTTTAGTAATAGTAGATTACATATCGAGGTGGGAAATTTTTTATCACCAATGCGAAATTTAATAACAAGCTGAAGTACGATGACAAGGTTTTAAGGACCATCAAATTTTGAAAAACATGACATATGACAGTTAAGGTTGGGAAATGGTCACTTCCTTATCAGTTTTGGAGTTAGTAAGTGGCCATTTTCCAACCTGAACTGTCATATTACACATCTATCAACTGATAAAAAAGTAACCTTTTTCCAACCTAAACATAATATTTCATAACAGTCGTTGAATGAAATTTAAATGTCAAACTTTCTAACTTTTTACATGCAAGGTATTTTGATTTATTAGGTTATGATTGTAAATAAAAAAATATTTATTTGAAAAGCACAAAAATAGTAATTAAATGATAGTCACAAAAAAATGTGAACACGATTTTTATAAAGTTATACTATGAGTCGATTTTTAAACAGATTTTTTTTTATGTTTGTTTTTCTCTATTTTGAAAATAAAACTATGTGTTTTATTAAACAATTTTTTATAAAGTCCCTATATTGTCTTATTTTTTTTTACAGTTTTACTTCGTTAAAACATATCCAGAACACATTATTTTCGTTTTAGAACACATTTTATTATTTCTCATTTGTCTCAATTTTATTTTTTATAATTCATTCTCTATACAAAATGGCACATAAGCTTTTCAGTACGTTAAGAAAACGTTACAACAAAATATAGAAAAATAATAAAGAAATTCTTTAACCATTTTTAATTCCACCAAAATTTCAATAGTTATTACAAGGGAGGAAAGTGTATCTTTTCCTCCCACAGGTGGAAGTCACTGTAACCACCCAGGGAGAAAAGACACTTGTCTCTCAGTGTAATACATGTAATTTTTCCTACGATTTAGCAAAAAGAACTTCAAAATTAATAATTTCTATTGATATCCCAGTTTCGTCCTTAAATCTAGCAGTTTTATTATAAGTAATTTTATTGTAAGTAATTTTGAAAGATGAGAAGTAAATAGTCACTTTCTTTTTTGAAATTAGAGTGGAAAAACCTATTTTCTGTTAGGGTCGTAGGAAAATAATGTTGTCATTAATCAAAATATTTTTGACATCTGTCAGTTTTAAAGCAGTTTTTGGTTTATTTCACTCTAAAAAAAATATTCTAATAGTGAATTGCCAATTACTCCCCTAAAAAAAAGGCTAAGGCAAAACTAAACGCAGATCTCTCTCACTCTGAATGAGTTTTCAAAAAATATTTTTATGTAAATACTTGTCACTAAATGTAAAATGTTATTTGTTTTTTTTATGTGTTCTTTGTACATCTATGTATCTTTTGACGAATACCAAATACCTTGTAGTTTCACTAATATTAATAAAAAAATATAATTTTAATATTAGGTGAATTATTTTTTGAACACACCCGGTATAATTTTTCTCTTTTATTTACACACTTTCTAGACTGCTTCCCAATGTTAAAAGTAAAAAAAATATCAAAAAATTCCAAAACTAATTGCAAGAATTTTAAGAAGCTTTTTTGGTGGTGTCATGTATACAGTGTGGCTTACGTATTTTTAAATCAGTTTCAATATTAATTTTTTTTAGCAAACATCGGGTAATGAGTGCATTTGCCCGACTTTACCCTATATGTTGCAATCGTTTTCTGCGTTTTGTAGTAAATCAGATTTGAAAAAAACGCTTAATTGACAAACAGCTTTTATTAAAACATAAATAAACATCGATTTCGCGTAGGTTTGTAACATTTTATTCAAAGTTTTAATCACGCTTTGACTCATTTAATAAACATTAAATGTACAACTAGTCGTAGTTACATGCACGATATTTGCATGTCATTAGTTGGCTTTAAAAACAGTGAGAAATAATTCAAGAATTTTCTAATATCGAATCCCCAATCCATTCCAGACCTAATTTAATGCCCAAGCGACTCCCTCTTGCACAAGGCCCAAAATCGCATCCCTCGCCCCAAATAGAGATATCAAAATAATGGCGATTCTCCCATCCCCTTTGAAAAATTCAACAGCTGTCTATGATCTATTCTGTAAACATCCCTCGTGCGAATATACAGCGTGTCCGTGAAAAAAACACAATTTCAATTTCCGTGTCGGAGATAATGATCGGTGGTAGACTTGGGTGGAATTTAGGCGCCGGTTCGTTTATAATTGACTCAATGCGAGATTCGGCCGGACCAACAGACCAACGTCCCGCTGTGCACCGACTGACGGGCGCCACTGGCACTTACGCACTAAACAAATACGGGACTATAATGGCCTTACCTGAGTCTTACACCACGGTGATGATTTATTATCAGCCGAAAGCAGACGGGGGCTCCGACTAACAGGACAACAGCCGATTTTATTGCCCGCATCAGAGCCACACTCGACTTTTTTTCTATATTATTTTAATTATAATGGCACCGATGGGCCATTATTCATCGCAAGATTTATCAAGTGCCAATGCACTTTTCATAGTTTATGCCTTTTCGGATTTCATCAATAAAATAACATTTTTGGTTTATTCACTAGAGATTAAAAAAGTAACTTATTTTACAGTTTTTTGCTCATTTTTTTTAAACACGAGACGCAACACTTCATTTGCATTGGAAAAAATCGAGGGACCGTTAACCTGAAAAAAATTTGTACAACCAATTCCAAAAAAATTCCACCGAAATTCCACAAATTCAACCAAAATTTCAGTAAATCCAATTTTTTAGATTAATCTCTATAATTTCAAATTAATTCCTGTAATTCCAGATTAAATAGTTCTTAAGTGCTTAAGTACAGCTGCGTCATCAATGTACTCCTAATAGCTCTGATAATTCCAAAAAGAATTCTAGTAATTCCAAAAAAAAATCCAGTAATTCCAGAAAAATTCCAATAATTCACATAATAATTAATAATAAGTAATTTCAAACAATCCAAAGATAATTTCAATAATTCAAAATAATTCCAAGCAATTTCCGATTAAATTGCAAAAATTCCATAAGTGAACTGCCTCTCGAAAAAATATAGTATATCACACTAAGACTAAAACTATTTCATTTTGTTTTTTTTTGGAAAATTTCCAAATTTTTAAAAGGGTAATATTGCACTTTTTTGTACTCTTAGACTGTGTATACAAGATGAGTCAAATAAATTTTTTGATGGCCACCGCGAATGCCCGATCTTAATCCGCTTGATTTTCTTTGAAGCACATAAACACACTCATAATTTTTATTTTTAATTTTGGCTGTAACTTTTTGTTGACACGGCGGCCAACTTTAAAAATAAATGTCTTGGATAATTTTGTTTAATTTAAATAATACAATTATCGAAATTTAATTTTTTATTGTAAAAACATTAAATAATATATTGTTTTCTTTGTACTCTTTCTTATGTCGTATGTATAGCAGAATTTTTGGTTTATTCACTAGAGAATAAAAATGTGAAAGGAAGTTTTGACTAAATTTACAATTTTTTGCTCATTTCTATAAACACGAGACTAAACAATGCAATTATTACAACACTTAATGGATCTCAACTTTACGTTTTATATAAATATGCTTTAGAAAAAATATTGTATATCACACTAAGCCGAAAACTATTTTATTAATTTTTTTTTTTTAAATATCAAATTTTTAAAAAAATAATTGCACTCCTTTCTATACAAACTATATACTCGTATACTAGGTGAGTCAAATATTTTTTTTTTTATTTGCTAATGGCCACCGCGAATGCCCGAACTTAATCCGCTTGATTTTTTTTAAGCACATAAACACACTCATAATTTT